GTGTATACCTGAACGGCGGATTAAGCGGTAAGCGAACTATGCGGGCGCGTAGGGCCCCGAAGGGGCTCCCGCAGTCTTTAAAATGCTACTGGAAAAAGGGATTGCGAAAACGCAGAAGATAGAAATAGTCCAGAAAAACGCTTCGATATATATAGATACATGGAAGTAATAAATGATATAGCTTTATGGCCAACAATATTAACAGATGCTATTATTGATCATATTCTTAAAACAAACCAAAAAGTATAGAAAAAGGATTTCTTAATAAACAAAAAAAAAAAGAGTTAAGATAATGGAAATAGATAAAACACCAGATGAACGAAGTAACTTGACACCCGAAAAATTATTTAAAATACAAATTTACAGTGTTCTTGACACTCTATTGTGTCAAATAGATTGGCGTTATGAAAAAAATGAAAACTATCTGTGATGATTTTTGCTTTCTCTGTGGCTCGTCTTTACAATACACGAGTGTTGCTGATTTAAAAAAATTCGGATACAGATCTCGCTATTAAATATAGCAAAGATTTAAAAAAGTATGAATTCACAAATGAAATTGAAAGTTTTAATTTTGAAGTAACGACTCTTATACAAGATATAGAAACTGCATCTCCGTTTAATATTCTACAGGCTCTTCGTGATTTTGGTTTAATTGAGTCTTACCCAAATATTAATGTCGCTGTTCGAATATTTCTAACTCTTCCCTTTTCTATTGCTTCTAGCGAGAGAAGTTTTAGGAAGTTAAACTTAATAAAAAAATTATTTAAGATCAACTATAATACAAGAACGATTATCCAATATTTCTATTATTTCAATAGAATACAATATCATTAAAAATATTAATTATGATGGTGTAATTAGTGAATTTGCTGAAATGAAAACCAGAAAAATTCAATTAAAATAAATCTTATTAAAAAATCTATTGTAATATACAGTATTTGTTTTATTATTTTCCCAAAACCAAATAAATTAAGGGGCCTAAATGCAAATTCTTGCACAGGGCACAGGAATGGCTAGTTACGGCTCTGATCCCCATTATCTCCCCACCCCTCGATCTTTAACCACCAAAATTTAATAGCACAACTTTTATAATACACAAATCTTCCTGCAAAAGTTCAGAAATTTTCATTTTATATTGATTTTTATAGGAAAATTTGTTTCTCGTTTAGAACAAATTGGTTTTTGAATAACTTTTAGGAACAAATTAAGTTTGAAACCCAAGGTTGATTGTACTTTGAGAGCATTTTTTTTGCAGATATGTTTGCAAGCAGTAATTTAATGAATAAATTTTGTACAGCACCTTTTACTAGTAATGACTTTTATATACAAACTTTTTTTAATAATCAGTAAAATAGCAATCATCAGACCTTTTATATAAAATTTTCCTATTTCACAGTAGTAATATAGTTTTTGAAGCAGTAAAAACATTGTAATGATACTGTACATATAAAACTGTTCTGCTTTTATGTAGTAACCAGCAGATTAGCTCTGGTGTTGCCCGGTCAGAAAACAACAAAAAAAAATTAAGATTATTAGATTATTTTGTACTTCCAATCCTTTTATTCTAGTAGCCCAGGACACTCCCTAATGGGTGTTCTAGCAGCAACGTTGTCATTCTGTGGTATAAATAATAAATTCCTATTACAAATAAAAATAATAATATGCTGAATTTCTCATGGCATACCCTAGTAAAATGTAGCCAAAAATGCAAAAAACTGCATCAAATAATATAATGAATTTATTGTTAATTTAAATAATAGCTAGGAGCACCCCTAGTGGCCATTTTTGGCATACAGTAACAGAAAGAAAGAATCTGGTTTTTCAGCTTTATATATATAGGTAATTAAATAAACCTACTATAATGAACTGTTAAGAATAAGTTTATTACAGAATTTCAATCCAGCACAGGCAATCTTATTGTAACCAACAGAAACAGAGACTGGAAATGGAATCATCCCTACTTTCCATTTTCATTAGCATTACTTTAAAATTTTCACAAATGCACTTAGAATACATTTGTAATATTAGGATTCTTTGATTATGATATTACAATGAATAAAGAACATCATTTGAATAATTCATATATGAGGCTATCAATGCATATTTATATCTATAAATATATAGTTTATACATCAAAATATCTTCACATATCAAAATAATTTTTACTAATTATTTCTATTTCAATTCATAAAATTACAAATTTAATATAAAAAGATATACTTACTGGTTTTATTAAAGGTGTTGTATCCAAATAATGCAATTTATAAAAACTGAGCAATGAGGGTATATCAGGAAACATTTGATCACCAATTCTAAACCTTGTCTGCTCCCCTTGTTGGATTCGATTAATTATGTAGTGACTAACTTTACTATCTTCCCTATATTTAAAACAAATTTTTCAGTTGAATACAAATTAAATTATAAGAAGCAGACTTGTAATAAGTCCATAGACTTCTATATTTGAGCCTGCTTCTTATAATTTGATGAATATATTTAATGATTTGCTTGAAGTAGGAAAAAATGGCACCATACACTATTTATTTATCATATTTTTATATCTAAATTTACAGTAAAGCATCAATTATCCAAAACAATTCAGGACTGGGGTTATTCAGATAACTGCTCATTTACAAAAAAATATATTAAACACAAAACTGTACTGTATATAATTTGTATCACACGTCTTACAAATACATACCTTACATAATGTAATACATTAATAAACTAGGCCTACAGTTCAATTTGGCAGGGAGGGGAAGAGTGCTGCAACGTCACAGCCCCAGCAAAAATTTGAATTTGCCAACTGGAGCACTTTCAGTTAACCAATGATTCAGTTGATCAGTATTCAGATAATCGATGCTCTACTGTATTTCTACTCATTTCATTTTCATAATTAATTACCAATATACATCAGAAAATTCGATAATTTTGTTTCAGCAAGTTATCATCATTTATAAATTTGTCTAGATAAATATTTTTACAAATTTAATTATCTGAATTTTGAAATAATTTATATTCATTGACATATTTTTTTCAATTAGATATTTAGTATTTCATATGTAACAGACAAAAACTTAAAACAGAATTTATACCAAAAACTTTATGACAGGATTTAATTTAGAAATAATTTTAAAAGCTAAATCTGTACAAAATTTCACAATTTTTAAGTGTAAACTTTGTTATTCTATATATTTTTTTATTCAAGTACATGTGTTGTCTGAAATTTGCACACAAATTTTGGAATATTGAAATTTTCATATTATTTTGTGCTTTTCATCAGGTTTACTTTAATGAAAACAAATAGGACAAGGAAGAAAAACCTTGCACTAACTTTCCTATCAACCAAGTGTGATTGTTATTGCTTTCAGACTTTAGCCCTTAAGACTGTCACTGTTGTTTATTTTTATAGATTAATCTTTGTATTCAGTAGTTTATTTAAACATTTTTAGGTACATGTTATTAAAATTTTTTCAGCTATATATATTAATTACCTATGAATAATTACTTCATTTGTAAAAATGACAAATGAAATACAGCAATATCTCGGTACCTGAACAATTCAGTATTTGAACATAAATTCTGGAAAAAGTCACTTGGTACTCAACAGAATAAACACAACCAGCTAGAACAAATTTTCAATAAATAACATTTTTATTTTGTCATCCATAAAAATTTAATGATAAAAATAAAAAAAAATGAAAATGTGAAACTGAATTAAATTACATCAAATATGAAAGAAAAGATTATTAAAAGTATGTTATAAACAACAACAACAGGAACCAATCCTACAAAAAGACATCATTCCGAAATAAATCTTTTAAAAATTATGGAATAAGTAATGAAATTATCTTCCATTCTTTGCAATATATACTGATGATGATTTATTAACACACACACAATACAATGAATTAGTAAATCTAACTATTGTTACATATCCCAAGACCAAAACAAATCAAAGGAAGAACAGCATTTCTAGAAATATTGATGATATTATTATATTAATGAAATACAACCATTAAAACATTTTCAACATTTATTTTTTTCAGTTTAAAAACTAAATAGAATACAAACAATATAACATACAAGTTGCATTATGTATAGGTACCAGTGGCGTGCTGTCCTTGAAAGCAGTGGAAGCGCTGCTTCCCTTGTATTTTCTAAAATATAAATACATATTGCGCGATTATTTTCATACTTTAATGTACAGTACTTTGAATTAATTAAAATTAATATTTTATTATAACCGCATTATGTATATCTTATTACAAATTTCTATACTATGTGTGAAAAAAACGATAAGATTGCTATTGTATATTCGAATATTGGTGGCGGAATGGAAGCGCTGTATTGTCGAAACAGGATCAGCTTCCAAGCAGCCAGATTATAGGCATTTGCACATGTGCTTTACAGAGCACTAACCTCATGGTGGAAACTACACACACAATGCTTCCAATGATTCTATCCAGGACCAGTTCTGGGATGTTAGCTGCCTGCCTGCGAGGTATTTGACCGCCCTCGCCCCATTATGTGAATCATGAATAGATTTATAACTTAACCCAACCGATAGGAATTTACTGGTATGTTTTTATAATAGTTCTGTATAGTTGACAGGAGTTAAAAAAAAATCCATTAAAATATTTGATATATTTATTCTGCTCACCCATCTTATATTACTTATGGATTTCAATGTTAAACTAGTGATATTACAATTTAGTATGTCCTATCTATAAGGGGATGCAGAAAAGAACATGTACAATTCTTGTACAATGTTAAAAAATTAACTGTTACTTTGGCAGCATCATTTACAACTAAATTTGATGAATGAGATGCACAAGGTACAAAAAAGCTCTACAATTTATTTTCCTTAAATTTACAATGTATTTATCCATTGTCATAAAAATTTGTCTTTCCATTACTTTCCCAAGACTACAAATATTCAAGTACAAAGTAACTGGTTTCAACTTTTTTTACTTAAAAAGTAGTTAAATAATTAAGAGATTAGTAAATTAGGAACATAAATAAAACCCTGCTGAAAGAGCAGGAATTTTACTTAAACAAAAGCTTAACTGAATCAATCTCTAGCCGAGTACAGTGGGGACTAATTTCTTCGTAATATTAGATGTAATAAAGACAAATTTTTCCAGTTCAATGAGTGTGACTGAAAAGTTACTCTCATTTTGAATTTTGAAAACGAATTAGTTAGAAAACAAATGACTATTAAGTTTAACATATTTAGATTTTTACAGCTATGGTGAAAAAGCTTAAAATCTACAACAATCCTGTCACATCCTTTGAGATATACTAGTGATGTGACAAAAGCGATATTTGACATTAATTGGTATCGGCACCCTCAGGATTTGGCATGCATGCACACACTGCACACCTACCAAGATCGTCTCTGATTCTATCCATAAGCCACTTGTAGGGAGCAATTTTAACTGTGGATTGTTTTAATATTTAAAAAGTAAAGAATATTTTGTTATTTTTATGTATGTTTCTTCACAAAACTATATTTAATTATAATTTTCTTTAAAAGTTTATTCATACAATTGAAGAATATTGTGGATATATATATATATCCACCACACATTTTATTTCACCACGTAAGTTTTTATAATTTTATTTTTAATTGTAGCCCTTATACCATGGCTAGCAATTTGGAATGTAATTGAGATATTAAAAATACATTTAGAGAAGTCTACGGTTTTTATTGGCTTATCAAACAAACGAATACGAATGGACCCTAGACCAGGAGTCGCCAAAGTGGCCGATGCGGCTAGGGGGTCGATGCATCTAAGGGGTCACAGCCTTTTTTCCTTTTTCCTTTTTGCTTATACAGAAACCACAACATTTTTTTTTTTTTTCACTCATACACATACACTTGTAGTAAAACTTTACGGTGGGGTCAATGTGAGGCTTTGGAAAGTGGTTGGGGGTCAACAGTTAAAAAAGTTTGGCGACCCCTGACCTAGACCAACGCGCAATTAACTGATTGCCCCTGAAAGTCAGCTTCTTACAGAAACACAGCTTCCCTATTGTCAAATGTCACGACACGCCACTGATAGGTACACTCAAAAATTTACATCATACCCAAAGAGATTTTAAAGCCACCATATCCATGTTTTTGTCTTCTTTCTAACAATGTAAAATACTCTTGGAATTCCAAAAGTGCTTTTTAATGTGCATTTTATTATTTAATTCAAAAATGCAAATACATATTAAATTTAAAAAACTCTCTGTAAACTATTAACATTGCTTTGTGTGAAATTTCAGAGGAAGGTGTTATTTTTAAGATCAGTGTAGCCACACTGACTAACTACTACTACTATAAATGTCAATAAGTTGTTAATTGTTTTATTGTCCTGTAAAGGAAAACTCTTCCTGATTTTAAGGCAGTCAAATTATTATAATATTATTTGATTGTACTCAGAAGAATGTTTTCTTTAACATTTAATTAACTAAGCTTGTTAGATCTGATTAATTTTATATTTTAGTTGCAGTTTAATCAGCATACTGGTAACCCCGGGGTTTCTGGCATGCTGGTTGTCTCCCATTTTTTGCAGCAAGCTGGTCATTCCACAAAAATATGGTAGCAATACAACTGAGGTACTAAGTTGCGTAAACTATAAATACAGTAGACCCCCCTATAACACGGTAGATACGTTCCATTTTATATGAATTCTGTGCTTTATGAGTCACTTAAATCACAGCCCAGAATGTGTGCAGTTTAGGGACTAAGGCTGTTTGAAAGGTTTTCTTCCATAAAATTAATCGATTCTACACTAATTTGACTCAGCGTTTCCAAATCATGTATAATTTTTTGGGAATAATCCATATAAACTATGCTATAAACAAAAAATTGTAGGATTACTTATTGAGTGTGCATTGTTCGATGATGCCATTTCTTAAGCTTGTTTTCGTCGCAAAGCGGTGCATCGAACGGCGAGTGCATGTTTTCTGATAAGTTATTTTTCTGCAAAAAATTTGCTGAACTTTGGAGACATCATTAATAAATACAGTAGACCCCCCTATAATGCTTAGATACGTTCCACGCTAACCGAAAATTACGTTGTAGGAACGATTAAATATATGAGCCAATCGCAGCCCGATAGGTGGGAACTTTACGGACTAAGACTGTTCGAAAGGTTTTCTTCTATAAAATTAACCGATTCTAGACTAATTCGACTCAACATTTCCAAAATACGTATAATTTTTTGGGAATAATCTGTATAAACTATGCTATAAACAAAAAATTATAGGATTACTTACCGAGTGTGTACCGTTCGACTACGCCGTTGCTTAAAGCTGGTTTTCATCGCGGAACAGCACATTAAACGGCGGCCGCGATTTCTAATAACGAATTTTTCGCATAAAAATA